GAGTATAGGCCCCTTCTGTATGCGGGTGCCGTATGACCCGGAGTATAGGCCCCTTCTGTATGCGGGTGCCGTATGACCCGGAGTATAGGCCCCTTCTGTATGCGGGTACCTTATAACCCAGAGTATAGGCTCCTTCTGTATGAGTACCGTATATCCCGGAGTATAGGCCCCTTCTGTATGTGGGTGCCGTATAACCCGGAGTATAGGCCCCTTCTGTATGTGGGTGCCGTATAACCCAGAGTATAGGCCCCTTCTGTATGGGTGCCGTATAACCCAGAGTATAGGCCCCTTCTGTATGGGTACCGTATAACCCAGAGTATAGGCTCCTTCTGTATGGGTACCGTATAACCCAGAGTATAGGCTCCTTCTGTATGGGTACCGTATAACCTCTGAGTATAGGCCCCTTCTGTATGCGGGTGCCGTATGACCCGGAGTATAGGCCCCTTCTGTATGCGGGTGCCGTATGACCCGGAGTATAGGCTCCTTCTGTATGCGGTTGCCGTATGACCCGGAGTATAGGCCCCTTCTGTATGCGGTTGCCGTATGACCCGGAGTATAGGCCCCTTTCTGACTACTTTACAACATACAGGGAACATGAGGAACAGACGTAGCCCCCCTCCAGAAGGAAGGACAGTGTCAGAGATGATTGGAGGATCTACAGCCGAGTGATACACAAATAAGATACATTGTTCGACGCCGGTGCAATGTCCTTGTTCTTTCTGTCTTGGAGATGAACCTGGTATTGTTAGAATAGTATACCAGTAGAATGCGGATGTATTGAGAGATAGACAGAAGACAACATCCGTGTCCAACATCAAAATTCATCGGGACTCGGGGCACAGGCCCTTGTCGGGACTCGCATACGCTGGACTTTGTGTTTGATACGCTGAACAGTTTGTCTTATGATAGTCACAATGTATGTACAGAGGCGGGTCTGGGGGGGGCAGAGAGACACCCGAGGGGCCTGGAAGACCACCAAAGCTCCTTCCATAGATGTAGTGGAGGTGGTGA